CAAGGCAGGACCAGGCAACCAGCAGGGGCTGAACACATCATATCACAGTGCTGGGCAACCTCAGGGCAACAAAGGGAAGGGATGAGTTACCTTTAATTCTGCCAGTGACATAGAGGAACCCATCCTTGTCGTGCTTGCCGAGGTCACCCGAGTGCAGCCACCCATCTTCATCAATTGCCTCCTTGGTTTTCTCCTCCATGTTGAGGTAGCCCATGAAGATGTGCCTTCCTGAGAAGCAGATCTCTCCAACTCCATCTCCATCTGGCTTATGAATCAGCGTCCGGCAGCCTGAGAACTCCTTGCCACAGCTTGGAGACAACAAACCCAAGCCCAGGTTTTTATGTGGGAATTCAGGAGCTGGTGCAGCAGGGTGGGATGAAGCAGCACCCTCTGAAGCTGAAGGGTTTGAACAAAGCCAGGCAGCTTTTTTGCTGCAGCAAGGAACTTGACTAAAAGCCACCTGCTTGTGCAAAAGGAACTAGAGCACCAGGTGATCTTGCAGAAAGCTCAGTGCTTGCAAACACCTGAGCTTGGCAGAAGATCAACCTCCCTGGCAACCATCTCTGGTGGTGGTGGCTGCTCTGCAGGCTGAACAAGCCATTCCCAGCACGGCTTGGCTGTATTTTTTTTCACTTGATATTGAGCTGTAGGGCTAGAGTTACTAATTCTACCTTCTTCCCATCAATCCCTGGGGCTTCCTCCTCACTTCTACAGAACCCAGGCCAAGATAAACATCAACAACCCACCCGCTGCTCGACCCACAGGAAGGTATTTACCTGGTCAGCTTGAAGGCGTGAGGTAGAGAGATGGTGTGAGGCCCTGAGCTCTCACTCATGCCATACAGCTCGAGGACAGGGATGTTCAGACTTAAGAAGAACTCCAGGGTCTCCCTGGAAATGGGAGCAGCCCCCGTGTAGCACTTGGTGCAGCGATCCAGCCCCAGGGCCCTGCGCACCTTCTTGAACACCAGGTGCTGGGCCAGGCGGAAGTTCATGGGGAGCTCAGAGCACCTGCAGGAGAAAGTGGTTACAAGATGGGAACCACCAAGGAGAACTTCTCCCCCTTCCTTTCATCTTCCTCCTATTTCTACCCCTTGCTGCTCACCCTCTGGTCCAACCACTACATATGGTTTTTGCTGCCCATGAGCCACTTAAACAGGATATCATTCCTGATCTGCTAGTGAAGTTCTAATATTGTCACCATCCCCTAATTGCAGGTTGTAATTACCCATTCATCCTCTTCAGGTTGGTCTGCAGCCCAACCCCCTTGGCCCACGCTGCCACTTTCCTTCTGAGTGTTGATGATTTTGCACCTACGGATTTCATTTTCTCTTCCATTTTTTCCCAGACACGAGGAACTCCCAGAAAAGCAGTTGGCCTCACTTCCCGCAGGGTCTGTACCAAGGTGCCCTGAGGGGAGAAGAAAGGAGGACAGCTTTCAACAGTGCTTCACTGTGGCCTTCAGGTCAACTTCACTAGCCCAGATGGAGGACTTGGCCTCCTCAGTTTTGGGGAATTGCTCAGTTTCAACTGCAGTGTCATGGGAATCGTGCTCAGAAAGCAGCAGTGTCCTGGGCTGCAGCAGCATGGCCAACAGAGGGGACTGTCCCCCTCTGAGACCCCACCTGGAGCACTGTGTCCAATTCTGGAGCCCCCAACAGAAGAAGGACATGGAACTCCTGGAGAGAGTCCAAAGGAGGACCCAGAGATGATCCCAGGGCTGGAGCAGCTCTGCTCTGGAGACAGGCTGGGAGAGTTGGGGTGTTCAGCCTGGAGAAGAGAAGGCTCCAGGGAGACCTTAGAGCAGCTTCCAGTGCCTGAAGGGGCTCCAGGGAAGCTGGGGAGGGACCTGGGACAAGGGCAGGAGTGAGTTGGATCTAGATGGTCTTTAAGGTCCCTGCCAACCCAATTCATTCTATGACTCTCTGAAGTAAAGGAACCCCAGGATCATCCAAAAGCCACAAGGGCTTTAAGAAGACAGTAAAGGTTGATGCTTTCAGTGCCAATTGATACAGCACCAGGAGAATCATTCTCTTCCCAAGCCCAGCTTGGATGTGGGGGCATTTTGCAATGTGGACAGAGCAAATAAAGCTGTTGCTCAAGCAAGATGTTGGGGCAGAGAACTGGTGTCAGGTGAGACACCAAGAAGAAGCTCCTAGTTGTGAAGTGCTTGGTCAGCTCATCCCAGCTTGTGAGAGAGTCAAAAGGCAAAGTCTGACTGACTCTACTTGTCAGACCAACAGCCCCTCAACAGGAATACGTAGTCCTGTTAGCTGTGCTAACTTGGCCTGAGCTAAGTCAGCCATGACTGTTTTAAAGCACCTACCCCAGCTACACGGGGGTGACAGGTGGAGGATTTTTCTTCTTTCATGTTCTTACCTTCAGTGCATCTGGTTGAGCAAAGAAGACTTGAACCCCGAACGTCATGGCCGCCCAAATGTCTGTCATCTGGGCAGCGACGTGGCTGAGGGGCAGGTAGCTGACCACCAGCTCCTGCTTCTCCTGGGGTTCTGTCAGCATGATGAAACGTCCTGCTGTTGCTGCTGTCCACGTCAGCTGGAACAGGAACCCCACAGAGGGTGAACCAACAGGAAGGGACAACTCTCCACTGGGACATCTCTCCGCTGGGACAGCGCTGTGACATCTGCTGATCCATGGAGAGTTGTCCCAGGGTAAAGATGTCCCAGCACAAGAGATGTCCCAGACCCTTTAACCATCAGCAAAGAACCAGCAGATCACATAAGTCTACAACATCCTGTGACCTTAGCACCAGGTATGTCCTTCAGCTGACCTCTGCCCACGCCCAGCACCCACCCAGGTGACAGGAAGGACATTTCAACACAAAGACACTTACGTTGTCATGACTGAGCATCACTCCCTTTGGCTGCCCCGTTGTCCCCGAGGTGTAGATCAGTGTGCAGCACTGGTTGGGCTTCTGGGATTCAATGATTGCATGGAGCTGAGCATCTGGGATGTCTTTGCCAAGGTCCATGAACTCACTCCACTGTACACAAAGGAGAAGAGCTGGATCACTCTGTGGGCCTGTCACTCACATGTGGAATTAAACCCTTTGCTACACATGAGCAGAAGGAAACTGTTTCATAGAACCATAGAATAGTTTGGGTAGGAAGGGACCTTGAAGATCATCTAGATCCAACCCCCCTGCATGGGCAGGGACACCTCCCACCAGCCCAGGTTGCTCCAAGCCCCATCCAACCTGCCCTTCAACACTGCCAGGGATGGGGCAGCCACAGCTTCCCTGGGCAACCTTGGCCAGGGTCTCACCACCCTCACAGCAAAGAATGTCCTCCTAATGTCTCACCTCAATCTCCCCTCCTCCAGTTTTAATCCATCCCCCCTTATCTTCTCACTCCCTGACCTTGTCC